GGGGGGAGGGAAGGTGAGGAGAAGAACGGCAATCCAGAGTCAGTCCGTTTTCAGCAGATTGACTGTCTTGAAGAAAGTAGATGGGTTCTTGACCTTCAAGAAAATTCCTGACAGTCACTGTCAAATTCTCTGCAATTCCCTCAACTACATTCTTTCTAATTCCCATTACGAGAAGGCTTGTTCAGACTGAGCAAAATGAGTCATGCAGAAAAATAAGTTCATGTGAAATGAGATATTTCTGCGTACTTAGCTTGACAGAAGCAAATTATCTTTAAAAACACATTAACTATTTACAGTCAACAGTGAGGGGAGAGTACGAAGCCTAATGGAATGTAAATCTGGTCCAATTACAGGTTAATCTTTCATGAGGAAAACATTGGTTGAATGAATATGTTGATCTGAAAAAAACATATAAAATGGACAATAAGATCTGACAGCACACAGGCCAGAATATCTAGGCCTATGTCTAAGAAGCATCCAATAGGTGAAAACCTCATTAAACCACCAAATATATGCTGTGCTGGAAATTAGACTGCCTAAATTAGACTCTTATTTGAAATTAATCACACTAGGCCTATTCATCATCCTCACTGACAGCACACAAGAGGCAATATGAGAGTAACCAAGGTCCTAGCCTGAATCCAAAGCTGGTTACTTTTCAGAAACTGGAGTTTCCTATTAGAAACAAGTTCCTATCAGGGCTGAGCTTCCAACAGATTCTTTTCTAACAATTAATGAAGCAGTAACCACCACAGCCCCTGGTAGATTTGTTTAGCTGTAACTCCTCTTCTGATACAGTGACATGTTAGTAGACAACGTTTTATGAGGTAAAAATAGGTAATTATTAAAAATAGCTAAAGGTATATTTACTGAGTAAAACTTTAAAACCATTGTTAAAAATACTTATCACTATTTCAGTTGAATATGCATGCTGCTTAGGGAACTATCATTTTGCTGGTATTTCCGAAAATGAACCCCATCTACAGCAAACTGTAAGATTACTGGCTTTTAAAGCACACAAGATTAATATTAGATTGGCCACGCTGTTTTCCACCTGGGCTTATGTATGCTTGAAAGTGGGAACAGGAAAAACCTGATGACATTCAGTTTAGTTATTTGTATATATGCATTATAAAAGTTCATTAGCTTCTCTATATAACTGAGGCATAGTAAGAATATTAGAGAGATAAGCTGTTTTGATATGTTGTAGTGCCTCAGGAGGAGGTACCGACATCGAAATTCTCAATGAATTTCTTCTTTCAGTAGTAATTTTTAATACACGCAAAATCTCATAGGCATTTATTTCTCAGTCCTTTGAGGCAAAATTCTGTACTACGAATGGCACCAAACCATCTTCTCATGTCTAATCTATACCTACGCTGCAAGAGAACCTGTGACATTTGGTAACTAACTTTACTATAAAGGGCTTGAATGACAATAATAGTGAAGACACAACAACACAAGTTTCAGCATGACTTGTCTGTCTACTCAGTCGCTGAAGCCCATGACAATTTAGCCTCACTTTTAGAAGTACCTGAGATGGTTAACTCATCTTTTGCTCAGGTAAATGTCCATATGGCAATCACACATTCAAGTGTATGCCAATTCATACAAAGGTATGTCTAAAATACAGGCACTGCCCATGCTGTATAGTACCCGTTTGAGAATAAACCGAAAATTCAGTCTTTGAGAGACAGCATTTTCAGCAGCATAACGGTCCCTCAGTTGTAAAGCGAACAAACAAACAAAAAAAACACATGCACATCTAAACAACAGAAAAGATCGGAAAGCTCCTACTGAGGGATCAGAAAGTACAAGTGAAAAGTGTTCTGAATCACTTAGGGTTCACAATGGATTTGGGGTTTTGTTTTGTGTTTTTTCTTGTTTTGGAGAGGTTACATTACAAACTTCTGTTAAGTAGAACATAAACTTTTACAACATAAAACATAGTGTTTGATAACAAGAACTGTGCTTTTCTCAAACACAGATGGAAGAACATATGCAAAGGAAATTCTGAGGAATGTGTTACTGGACATCTGTTATTCTTGGAACAAAAACCAAATCCTCTTCACTAACAGTTCATCCAGAGACATGTATTTATTTATGTATAGTGCCACCTGCTGACAGCATGCTGGTACTGTACATTTAGTCTGATGGCAGAACACGTTTCGATGCGCTGCTTAGCTAATCAGTGCCTCGTAACTGAGACAAGAATGATTCCCAAAAGAATCATAGCTAAAACCCCAGTGCACCATTCTGAAAGTTTACTTCCATGTTATTTTCACTTATCTGCCTGTCATGCCTAAATTGATTGTATAATTTACACTTTTACAAACTGGTCTTGCATTTAAAATTAATACACCTGAAATACTGTTGGAATTTTGTTCATTTTTACCGTTACTAGCTGTGTCATGGCAGTGGCCTAGCACACTTGAAGAGAATATATTAAAAGATGATCATGGTTTTAACTGGATTGTGGAAATGACAGTCATCTAAAAAGTAACATACAGTATAGAAGTCTAATAAAGTCCATACCTTTTCCTGCTCACTTTTCCAAGCAGAGGATACTGTAGAATACAAGAATGCACTGGGCGAGTCAGACAGGGTTAAAACAAATACATATAATATTTAAAAAAAATTTTCAATAACAGAACCAAACACCAACACACAGTATCATTTTTTTCCAAAAAGCTGAAAAAGAATGGCATTTTATTACATTTTGAATATTCAAACAAAGAAGCAGTCTGACAAGACACTCAAACAATTACTCAGAAAGACGTGCGTATACTTAAAACAACACACTACAAAATACTGTTTGAAGTATTCAGATAAAACAGGCAGGACAGACTAACAAGACTTCGGTGGTAATGAGCCTGAGGAGATACCACATCCCACAAACTACAGGAACTTCCCAATACTCAGTCCTCTTAAACTCAGTAGAGTATGTAGGGAAAGGGAAAGGATTTATGTCTCTACTGTCTTTAATTTTCAAATATCTCTTCTGGTATTGCAGAGAAGCTTAACTGTTTTAAACTTATTCTAGAACATAACAAACAAAAGCAGTTCATCCAGACTATGTCTGATCTCAGGCAAACGCAAAAAGATGTCATCCACAGCACCTATGTAAGTGTGACTTTTAATATAAATCGGGTAGATATGAAAAAAATAAAGAATGACATGGCCACAATATGCAAAAAGTTGTATTTTTCTGAGAGTAAAAGTAATCTACCTCTTTCTCAAAGAAGGAAGATTCGTCTGGCAGAATCCAGGATCGAGGGTAGAAGTTATATTCAAGAGGAAATAGATATTGCATTGTTCGCACTGCTCGACTCAGTGTAATTTTACGTACCATCTCTGTCATACCTAGGGAAAATAATAGATATTATTTAAAGGTGATGAAGAATAGTCACGGAAGCCTCCTTGTAAAAGTACATTGTTACATCATTACTCACCATGTAGGCAGGTACTCTTGCCAATGCTTTCAGTACAGCTGAAAATCTAACTAGTCTGATAAAAAATGTGTAGCATTCCCCTGACATATTTTGTAATGTATGTATTACTGTATCATATGAGAAGAGCTTTAAATTTATCGTCCAAAATAGAGGTCAGAATAATAAAGGGAAGTGCTTTAGTCTAGCATTTACTGCCTTAGTTGTCGTCCACAATTATTGCCTCAACTTGATAACATGCCAGGAATTGGAAACAAGTCCATTTAAATACAAGAAACCACTTTGTGTTTATTTTGCATTCATTTAAGCAATTATGTCAGACAGAATAAGTTTTGTGAGTAACAGAACTTAGGAAGCCTGCTTTCCTGTAGCTTTGAATCTGAAGTTTGGTTCAACCCACATCCAGATCCGGGATGAGCTCTGATCAAAGCTTTTTCCGAGGCTAGGGCATTCACAGCGTTACTCTCTTGTGTTGATTCATATGCTGTCAAACATTACAGCTTAGTTCATGCTGCAGCTTCTTTCTCAGTGAGAATAACTGTGGGCTTTCTATACTACCTGGTCAGCAAATTTCTACCTCTGCTGAGCGTGGTTGATTTTGGCCAATGGGTTCCAGAGCTTCACTAAGGAGAGAAAGCCACAGGGAACATGCAGACAACAAAAACTGCCAAAGTCTTATTTCCCTTGGAAACATGGCTAAAAAGCTATCTTTATGGACAAGCCTTTCTGAGGACCAACCCTTTTAAGATCTTTTGAATACTTCACAAGTCAATAAGAGAAGCATCAAGACTTCTTTTCAGGAAAACAAATTTAGCAAAAGCCAGTGCCAAGACAGAGCAACGTTCCTAGAGTGTATGTTTAGTTCTGAAGGACTCTTCACTCTCTGTTTTCCTTGACTACTATGCACTCTGCTTGCTTACCACATAGAAGCCAGAACACAGAGAGGGTAGCATTCATGCAATACTATGCAATTTAAGCCACCAGAAAACTACATCATTTGATATTTGAATGTGAACTGCTCATAGACAGGAGAAAGTCAGAGTAAACAGAGCATAAAGTTTGATATCTGAGGTTTCTTATTCTCACAGCATACTAACAGCAGCAATAAATCTGAAGCAAGGGGCTTAGCTAAGTCAATACGTAAGCTCTTAGCTATTATTTACAGAGCTCTCAACTGGGATTAAACGAGAAATAAGGGAGCTTAAAAAAGTAGAATAGTCATAATAAGATGAAGGCTGACATGAACTCTTCAATATTAAAAAATCCGCTTGAGGAACTTTGCTTCTCCCTGAAACAGGCCAGAGTTCAAAACAAAATAGATTTTTTCCACTATGAAACAAAAACTAATTCAAATATTCAACAGTGTTATTGACATTCAATAACATGCAATAATTGCATGTTTACTTCACTTAAATCATATCCTAAAACTCATTTTTTTTCTAAATCCATATATGGATATATGAAGCATTTTTTCATCAGAAACCCTTTCTATCCAAAACAAAGGTCAATCCACAAAGAGTTCAAGATACCCATTCTGATATTTATACCACATATTAGGAGATGTTTAGTTATCACTTATTTAACAGTATATTCAATAAACAGAAGTTAGAACATACTCAAGAATCTTTTTTAGTATGTGACTAACCAAAAATCAGGAATGTGACCTTATAGTGCAATATTTAGAGAAAGAGAATGGAAATGTCGCCTTTTACTTTCATGGAGCTGGGCTTTAACTGGTCATGTATTCTAACTCTAATCTTATACATACTTGTAATGTTGAGAGGCTTACTCTACAAACCAAAAAGGATGAATGTCAAATTCAAATAAATTATTTTCTCTTTGTATCACCCTAGTCTATTTAGATTTATTTTACCAGAATCTCAAGGTGAGGAATCCAATGGACTTTAAACAAATTCCATCTGTTATTACACTTCTAATAATTTAAATATTAGATAACCCATAGAGAAGTAACAACAGGAAGTCCAACAGATGATCTAGTAGAAGAAAGACCAAGACCGACCTAAGCTTAAGGGGGAAAAAAACACCAAAATAACAGATAAGCCTATTTGTCTTAGAGTTTCTCACATGACCCCCTCACCTCCATGCAGGTTACCAAGACTCACCTTCATGATAATCAACTCTATCCTCACCCCCTCCCAAATTCCCCGCTAAGCAGAAATCACCTACCAAAAATGATAATATTCTAAAAATACTATCAGCTGGGTAGGCAGGTGATTCAGGTAGAAAACCGAAAAACAGTTAACATTATCGTGCTTTTAAAGCATTTGTTTAATTTAGAAACAGAAGTAAGGTACCTGGAAATTTGTTGACTTGACCTGAAAATATATCATTATCATGAAATGATACCCCATGCCAATAGATATCACATGGCAAGCGTCTGCCAAATGGAAACTGCAAAAGAAGAGATATGAGAAATTTTGAAACAAAATGGCAATATGTGTTCTTTACTTACTTTTCTAAAATATAAAGCATATATCATCCAAATAGCGTTCTGACCATCAAAACAAAACATGCTCTATATTTTGGTTGCAAAACTGAGAATACTTTGTTCAGTTCAAGTTTCTAAAATTCAAGAAGGGATATAACTGAAATGAAGTGTCTGAGCAAGCTAGATTACATGGGTGTCCCAGCTGCAAAGAATTTAAAATAGATATTCAAAGAAAGATATTTAAGTGAAGTAACTACAGCTATCTAATTATTTGTTGAGCATATATATTTAACCTACTAAGGACTAGGGGGATTACTCCAACAATACTAAATAGTCTAACAACTTAAGAGCTTCTTTTCCCATTCACACAAGATTTGACCATAAATTTCCAATGGTACAGTTTGCTTTCTATTACAAAAACCACCAACGTCTTTCAAAGAGTCTGAAGCGCACTGAAACAGCATTACCCATTACCAACATCAATGGCACTTCTACCAGGAGTGAACTGGTTTAAAAAAAGTTACCAGTAGTAAAAAGAAAAGTCCCATGAATTAGCAATATCAACTATCAAAAGCCAAAAAAATTACTAATAGTTAAAAATTAGACATGTATAATGTCAGTTATGATAATAAATTATAATTAGTGTTTGTGTAAAATGGGTACTTTTATTTTCTACATTTGTTCTCTTAGATATAGTCCTATTTATCAAGCCAAGAAACATTTCAACTGCAACTCTCTGTAGATGCTGTTGATTAAATATCATATGGGATACATTCACAACAATCTATTATATTATTAGATTGCATCTTTTTCAAGTAATAAGCCATAATTATAACTACAGCATTTTCAGGATCCAGTTCTATTAAATATCTATAGTCTGCAACACCCTATGACTTCAAAATAGCTAACCTGTTCAAAGAAATACTGCAAGCGTACCTTAATAACCACAGTATGTTGCAGAAACTACTCGTTCTTTAGTCTAAATGTAATCTTTTTTCTTTAGAGTATTCCTTTAAGCACTGGATTTATTTTCAGTATGAGAGAAAAAGAACTTCATGCTTTTGAAGCTTTTGAGTGAATCACTTCTTTTATCTGCTACTTTAATTAAAATTTCAGTTTATTCACTAAATAGCTTCCATAATTAAATTTAAAACGCTAACTTAGTGACATATCCTTTCTCTATTTCCTTACTCATATGGGTGAAATATATAATATAACAGAGCTAGAGGATTCTTCACTTATTTCATTATTATTCAGTCTGCAAAGAACTAGTTTTACACATTCAAAAATCAATTCTGTTAGGCTCTGAAAGATAATGAGTGGCCTTAACCTCTTTCCACAGGTAAACGCAGAACACAGATTCAATATTAGGTCTCAGACTGCCCTTCTCTCTAAAACTTGAACAATTTACTTATTTATTAAATGGAATTGAAAGGAAAGGAACGAAATCGAATTAAATGGAATTGAAAGGAAAGGAAAGGAACACCTCCCATCTACAGAGGATATCAAAACATTTTACAAACACTGCACAGAAATTATTTCACAACAGATGAAGTGTAAGCACCTCTGCACCAGAAAACCATTTTACACCAGAATCCACAATTCAGATAGCGTAGCAGCCTCTCTACTTCTGACAAATCAAGATTATTTGGATTTATCTAACAATGGGACCAAACTAATTTCCCGAATGAGCTGGGACGGCTTCCTTATTGTCTGCATATATTTTAACATAAGAACAGCGTTTAGAAAAAAGCAAACACGTTAAACTATTTGGCTCTCTCTAGCAGCGCTAGGCAGATATAAATTTATCTTAGATCTGGCAAAACAGGCTTTTTCTGCCATCTCCCCAGCTTCTGGTGCTGGGGACTATCTAAAAAGAAAAGTGGATGACTGTAGCAGTCCTGTGTTCTCACAGTATCTTCTGTCTAAAATTATCAGCTCGGCGTCACCTGGAGCAGCCTCAGACCTGCTCTAAGTGACGTCCAAGCCAAGGTGCTCACAACCAGAGAGCTCGGGCACTCACAGCTGCAGGCACGCGTAGGTCATAACTGTGCCCGAAGCCATCCTTGCCTCTGCCTGCCCAGTCCTGTGCTCAGGAAAATGCAAACAACTTTCCGATTGCAATCAATTCACTAACTCTTTAAAGCATTTATTTATTATCTTTTATTTGGAGGTGGAGGGCACAAAACCAGGAGGCCACAAAGTGAACAAACTTGTTTTCACAACTCTGACACAATTAATAATCAATCATAGTCAAATTCTTCTGACAGGTTATTTCTACCTTTTGATTGGAAGCCAATAATTTAAACTCTGTCTCATGGGTCACATCAGTCTGTTCCATTATGTTTAATGACAACTTAAATGACTCTTGGCTTCTAGTCAGCTTTTCCTTCCCCGAAATTTCCAACTATTTCTATGCCTCTGTGCATCTACTAAACAGTGAGACAAATGAAACACTTAATGCTGGGATACTTGATGTCTGGGACATCTGCTTCTTCCATTTCCCTGGTAATTGAAAGCCAGCTGAAGAAATAATTTATTAAGTGATGAATAAACTCAGGATGCAAGCTCAATTTGTGCCCATTATTTCATTTGGCATATCATGTTCATTTAAAGAATGTGACACACTAAATCAGATAGTCCAATCTAATGATGTTAATAATTGCTCCAGTGGCAGCATGCACATTAAAATTCTGCAATGCCTTTTAAAAGGTCCACCCCTGTACGTTACCCAAGATAGGGCTATGACGGTGCTATTTTAATTTACTCAAGATTTCCATAGCTGAAAACAATATCATTTTTCTCTCTGTTGCATGAAGATCTGAAAAGTGCTATAATACAAGGGAAGAGAGTAGAAAACGACCCTCTCTAAAATATCAATATTTAAATATATACATTTCATTAACACTTCTAAGATTTTTTTCTCATTATTTTTGCAGATTCTACCAGAAACAATATGTGTGTACCCTTTGCTGGTTCTGCTGCAATAGTAATACTATCTCCATAGCTGTTTGGCCACCGGGGATAATTGTTTGAATAAATACTCCGGCACTACTTTCTAAACGTTTGAAGGGGAGCGCTATCAAATTAAACTGATATTGATACTTCAGGATATTTTCAATTGCTTTGCACTTTATGCAGTTATTTATGTCAGCATTAAGTGAGTCTGAAGGGCTATTTATTTTGCCCTGCAGCATTTATTCCAGGCAACAAAGAACTGTGCATATTGTTTATTGATGAAGTTTCAAATATCAGCAACACCACTGTTCATTAAGTTGGTTAAACCTGCCAGCTACCTAAGCATAAGGTTATTATCTCATAAAGAAATGCATTTGATCCCAAAGGGCTTCTAAAGCACTTTAAAAGCTATATATATAGGAATCATTTCAACAGAAGTCATCTCTCGGATGAAGCACGGCAACTTACGCGCAGCAGAAGTACGCAACGCTTCATGTGGAGGGTGAACATTAAAGTCGACGGAAATTGCAGGGGCCAAGAACGAAAGGACTGAACTTGGAACAGAATGCTCTGTAGTTCAAATCTGGGCCACCGCTAGACTTAAAAGCACTTTTCTGATGTGGCTACAGGAGTATGTGAGCCAGTCAGTGATAACAAACATTATTTACACCAGTGAAACGGAAATGGTGCCAAACCAGTAGAGTTGGATGGATATGTATGGATTTTTGCAGAGGAAGGGGTTAAATCAAATCTATACCATTATTTTAAAATGCCAATTTAAAAGTAAAAAAAGAATAAGTTCCTTCCCTTCCCAAACTTGCTCCACTATACCAGAGATTTTCTAATGGTGTCACATAGCTACAGCTACTGCTGTGTAATACACTGTGCTTTCAGCTGTCAAAATACGAATTCATCTCCCCAATATTTCCCACGTGGTATCTGTACGCAGGACAGATCTCAATCAATCTAGATTGATTTCTCGCATGCAAGTAAGAAATAGAATTTTGTGAAAACAATACATGAATATTGCCAGTTGAAAAGTACTCTTGCCATTAACTGTCTCACAGCAAAAAAATTTTTAAAGTTATGGAATAGCTCAGATAGAAATGGGGAATTCACCCACGTGCAGGAACTGGCAACTTCACCTCTTCTTTCTGCATGCGGGCAAAGGAATCTTTCCCATTCTAGCTGTTCAATAAAGCCCACAATTAGTATACTGCAAAATGCTACTTGTGTTACCTGAAAACAAAACAAACCCTAAATACGAGTCTACTTTAAAATTGCAAATATGGCACTGACATGAACTGGCATTAGATAAACTCCCAAATACATGCTGTGTTGTAGTAGAATTTCTTATGTTAGAGTTTATTGTCATTGAGATACTGACTGATCTGTTTAGCCACATCGGGGCTGATGCGTGTTTTCATGAGAAAAATGTTGAACATGTTGAAGTTTCTATCAAAAAAAAAAAAACAAACGAAGAGCACTAACTCCTTTGCTTACACCATTACATGTACAACGGCCTCTGAATGAAAATTTCCTTCCTCCAGACCCTACTGTTACCTAGAGGTCAGAGTAACTGAGGGAGAAAGCAGGGTTTTTTTGTTTTTTTGTTTTTTTGTTTTTTTGTTTTTTTTAAGAAGAGTGTCATCCAGATAAGGGTATGGGATCTCAAATGTCTAGTAATTCTGATTTCTAAACTGATTTGAAATGTATACAATGATATGAGAAAATACCTTCTTGACAAAAAATAATGTCACATTAATGTGTATTTCCCTCTTTATTATAACAAGATGAAAATTTTACAGGAACATTACAGTGACTTTACAAGGAATAAATTATTAGCTGCTTATATAGTACAGTCAAATGTCTCAAAATTCAATATTTGGTCTCTTCTTTATTAAGAAGAGTACAAAGAGGCCAGAAGGGGAAGCAACAGACTAAATGAAAAATATTGACGGAATTAATGGATGGAGGAGAAAAGATATTAAGGGAGTCAGTAAAC